AATAATTGGCATAATTTGAAGAGTTGAATATTTTCACCTGAAATGTACAAAACAATCAGTCAAAAAAAATATACTTTGCAGTACACCCTCCTTTCACTGCTCTTTTAACATTTGTGAGAGAAAATAGTCTTAGTCTTTAAACAAAGAGGTAAGAGTAAGCAGTAGTCAATAGTTTGGGTGTGACCAAAGTCTAGTTAGGTTCAATCAAATGTTTAAATGGAATGGCTTCTTAATTATCTGTAAAATGACACAGAAGAGTTGTAGCTAATTAGAATATATAGCATATATTTTCACTCTTATGAGTGTTAATAAATAGCTAAACACATTAAGCATTTGATCTAGAAAGCTCCTCTCTAATGGTCTAAAGTGAACTGCCTGATATACAGATAGGTTAGGATATCTGTACCACTAAAACATCTGGAAACTGAGTTTTGTGATAATACAGCAGTAATTCTTGGCCTATTCCAAATTACCCAAACCTGTCATAATTGTCTTTTTAACTTATCAACCAAGTTGAAATGCAATTTAGAAGAAAGGAAGGTGAATTGGAAGATAGAATTAATTCAGGAATTCTGCCTTGTTCACATGAAGATCTGGGGTTGGAACTATGATGCTGTTTATGAACCTTAATAATCATTAAACATATTATAATTTGACATTCTGTAAGTAGCTGAGTAGATCAGTGGTAAAGAATCTGCCTGCTGATTCAGGAGACGTAGGAGACTGGAGTTCGATTCCTGGGTTGAGAAGATCCTCTGGAGGAGGAAATGGCAACTGGCTCCAGTATTCTTGCCTGGGAAATCCCATGGACAGAGGAGATTATTGGGCTATAGTCCATGGGGTGGTGGAGGGTGGGACACAACTTAGCACAGCACAAGGCAGAAAGCAGCTTTGGCAGGAAAGAGCTTTCTGCAGGAAGCCCCTTTTGTCTTGACACTAACCATATACCAGGCCCCCCCACGCTCTACTCACCTCCAGCCCAAGCACGGTTTTCAAAAGCACAGTTTTGATTACAGAATATTTTGCCTGTCGTGTTGGCTCTTTCCATAGATCAAAGAAGTAGAAATGAAGAATAAGTAGTTAACAGATGACTAGATCTCTTCCCTAGCTTTCCCTTCAGTAATCTTGTTTCTCCTGCACTGGCACTAGCGCCACCTGGGAAGTCTGTAACTCTAAGGGTCTTCCTTAAAGACAGCCTCAGGGAGGGACTTCCTTGGCGGTCCAGTGGCTCAGACTCTGGGCTTCCAATGAAGGGGGCTGGTTTTCATCCCTGGTTAGGGATCTAGATCCCACATGCTGCAACTAAGACCTGGTGCAGCCAAATAAATAAGGAAACAGAAAAATAAATAATTTTTTTTTTTATAAAAGACAGTCATAAGGAATAAAGAAACTGTCTATGAGTGGAGCTCTGGGCACTCAACATTCTTTGCACCCCAAGACGATGCATCTGGTTAATATATTTGAGTCTTTCATAAGGTTTTGTATAAAAAAGACTCCACTGTAAGGCATAACAATGTTTAAAAATCATACTAACTGAAGTGAGCCAGACAGAGAAAGACTGATATCATATGATATCACTCTTATGTGGAATCTAAAAGAATGAACTTATGTACAAATGAACTTATGTACAAAAAGGAAATAGATGCACAGACATAGAAAATAAGCTTTTGGTTACCAAAGGGGAGAGGGGGAGGGAGGGACAAATTAGGAGTTTAGGATTAACAGAAACACATATATAAAATAGGTCAACAATAAGGACCTACCATATAGCATAGAGAACTATATTCAATATCAGAGGTAAACCATAATGGAAAAGAATATGAAAAAGAATGTGTGTGGGTGTGGGTGTAACTGAATCACTTTTCTGTACACTTGAAACTAATACAATATTGCAAATCAACTATACATATAATTAAAAAAAAATTATCCCAAGGAAAAAGATCACTGCAGAGTTTGAGTGCCTTTCCCCCTACCCATGTTCCAGTAGCATTATTACAGAATTAAGAGAGGAAATAGCTAAGAATAGATCCTCATGAACTAGTCTCATGCATGCTTGCATTTTTTCCCCAGCAAATATTTATAACGCACCAATTAAGTATCACCCAAAATGCTTCCTCAATATTCCAGAGTGGCTAGAATGAGCCACAGGGCAACCTGAAAATGGATACTGGTTGATTTGAAAACAGTATGCACATGACAATTTTTAAAATATGCTCAGCATGTATTCCAAATAGAATGATCAAGAAGTGACAAGTTTGCCTTTCCACCCACACTACAGATTTAGATTTGGGCATGTGAATGATAAGAAAAGTTAACCATTTGCAATTTTATTTCAAAAGATATTCATTGTGTTTATCTTGGTGGGGGAGTAATGACCAAGAGAGACAAAGGCTGGGAGAGTGGGAACTGATAGCTTAGCCTCTAAGGAAGTAAGAAAAAGTAAACTCATTGCTTGGAACTCTGTCCCTTGACTTATCAAAGAGAAAGCAGTGGCATCTATAATGGGGGCTGTAGCTAGGCCCATCAAGGGAGCCGAGGGGACTCTGGTGTTCACAGTATGAGGAACCATGGGGTTCCCTGATGGCTCAGCTAAGAGTCTGCCTGAGATGCAGGAGATGGGAGTTCAATCCCTAGGTTGGGATGATCCCCTGGAGGAGGAAATGGCAACCTACACCAGTAATCTTGCCTGAAAAAATCCATGGGCAGAGGAGCCTGGTGAACTATAGTCCAATGCGTTACAAAGAGCAGACAAGACTGAAGCCACTGAGCATGCATGGACTGATACACTCCAGAACATTCTAGTATATTCCAACATTCTGAGGCAGAGCTAAGGTTCAGAAGCCCCTCACTCAAAATTCCTAACTTCTGAGTAGCCTTTTCTATTGAATACTAACAAAAAGAAGAATCAAGTTTCTCTTACTTTGCTCTGAAGTTAAACACCTATTTCGTTGAGATGCTGGAAACAGGGAGCTCAACTCAGGCAGTTTACCTGGTTTGGCAGTCTTTCCTGGTTTTAGCACTGAAAGTCCTATGTCCTGGAAACTCCTTCATTCCCAGGCAAGCTGGGATAAATAGGAAGCCTAAGGAAACAAGAACCAAGTGAATGGGTATTTCAGTAACAAAACATCCCAAAAGTTAGTGGCTTATAACTGTAATTGGGAAGAACAAATCTGACTCCATACTGAATCTGCTTCTTTTAAACTTTGTATTCTATTGTTCTTGCTTAATGTTAAGAATGTTGCCTATAGCCTGAAATGTACAGGATAGACCAATCTCAAGGCTCTGACCTTTAAGGGTCACTTTTGCATTCATATAAAGATTAAAAAATTGCAGAACAGAGAAGAACGTTTGTCAAGTTGGAAGTTTACAGGACCACCCTGAACTGAACTCCAGGGACAGCTGCAAGAAGAAAGGATTCTGACACCAAGAGTTTGCAACAATGATCCATGCCGCTCCTTCACCTTGCCTTTAAAATGCTTTGCTGAAACTCCTTCAAAGAGTTGAGGATTGAGGGGATTTAGGGGATCACGAGTCACCCACCCCTCTCCTGAGTCATCTACCCCTCTCCTTCCGTGGCCCTGCAATAAACCTTTCTCTGCTCCAAACTCTGACATTTTGGTTTGCTTGGCCTCACTGCGTGTCAGCCACATGAACTGGCATTCAGTAACAAAACCACTATCTTTTTTTTTTTTTCTCACCATTCCACATCCTTGGCTAGGATTGGCTGGGTGGTTCTTCTGCTGGTCTTGCTTATGACTTCTTGTGTGGCTGCCTTCCACCAGTGTGTCTCCAGGAGGCTGGTCTCAGCTGAGATGCAGGGACATTTGGGTTTTGCTCCCTGTCCAAGTAATCTCAGGGCTTCTCCCTTTCCATGGAGTCTCTCCAAGGGCCTTTTTACAGCAGGGTAGCTGAAGCTTTACAGGGTGCAAGGAGATCCAACCAGTCCATCCTAAAGGAAATCAGTCCTGGGTGTTCACTGGAAGGACTTATGTTGAAGCTGAAACTCCAATATTTTGGCTACCTGATTCAAAGAGCTGACTCATTGGAAAAGACCCTGATGCTGGAAAAGATTGAAGGCAGGAGGAGAAGGGGATGACAGAGGATGAGATGATTAGATAGCATCACCGACTCAATGGACATGAGTTTGAGTAAACTCTGGTAGTTGGTTATGGACAGGGAGGCCTGGCATGCTGCAGTCCATGGGGTCGCAAAGAGACAGACTCAACTGAACTGAACTGAACTGAATGTTTATTGAAACAGGGTTTTATTGAACACTATACTCATTTTTAATGTAGTTACTTGTCAGGTAAACAAACATACATCATATAGTTATGTATCCCTTAAAGTTTGAGTAAATGTTAATAATTAAATGTACTACAGAAATAAAAATAGACTATATGAGTGTCGTAGTTTAAGGATTCTTGTTATATAGGTTGAGCTTTTTTGAAATGCACACCAAAGTGTCTCATATTAAACAAACTTTTGTGAAAATACAGATTTTCATTTTGGGACTTTGGGAGTGTTGATATTCAGTAGAATATTAAGTTTTATCTGTTTCATGAGAGGACTGTATTTCATGTATTTTCAGCCATCTCTTCAGCTAATCAGTGGAGTACAATAGAGTTGCCAGTTAATAAAACTGTACAAGCATGCATTTTAGAAATCGCAAATCCAAACTTGTTTTATGCTCNGCCCCTCCCTCATCCTCCCCTACCACGAACTCCTCCTTAAAAGAACCCTGGAGCTGCTGAGGGCCCTGGGGTCGCTGCTAGCTTCCTTCCCTTTCTGCACCAGACCTCCTCTCCATCACTGTGGTCACTCTCTGGGCTTTCTGACTCTCCTTCGCTCGCCACCCCGCCCCGGGTCACAGCAGGGCCGGCGCGTCCCGCCTCCGCTCTGTCGCTTTAAGCGGGTCCCCGCCGGCGCGCCCCTCCCTCACCCCTCCCGGCGCTCGGCGGCTCCCCGCCGCCTCTCCCGCTCCTCCTGCTCCTCCTCCTCCTCGGCTCCCGCTCCTCCTCGCCGCCCGCTCCGCTCCTCGCAGCCTCCGCGCACCCGCAGCCATGGCCGACATCAAGACGGGCATCTTCGCCAAGAACGTCCAGAAGCGACTCAACCGCGCGCAAGAGAAGGTCAGAAGCGCGCGGCGGGCCGGGTGGCGGGGACGCGGGCAGGCTGGGCCGAGCTGGCCGGGGGAGCGCAGGAGGCCGGGCCGGGGCCGGGGTCGCGGGGACGCCCTGCCCTCCGCCGCAGCCACTGCAGCAAGGCGGCACCCGGCAGTCGGGGGCGCGCAGACCCGGTGCCCGGAGGCGCGAGGTGGGCCTGGGTCTCCCGGCTCCCTCTCCCCCTGCGCGGCTGCGGGCGCCGGGCACGAGCTGTGGCAGGTGCGGCGGGTCGCCCGCGGCTCCCGGAGCGGAGCGCATCTCCCTCCCGGCGCCAGCTCTCCGCGCTCCTGCAGGCGGCTCGCGGGTCCCGGCGGGAGCTTGCGGCGCTCTAGTTCCTCCGGCGGGATTCCTGGCTACTTGGGTGCAGCAGGCACGAGCGATTTCTCACAGAAGCTACACCTCTCAAATCTGGATCAAGAGGGCTGACCGCTCCAACCCAACGGCTTTAATACAGTGCAGTAAAGTGAATCCTGAAGTTCAAAACCGAGATCTAGATGCACAACTTCTTTCTCTTTCTTTGCTTTTTATTTCTTTCTCTGAGGGGTCTCTGTTATATGTGTATCCCTTTTGACGCCAGTGCCCTTCTCTGGAAGGTCAACGATAAATATGACTTGAACCTAACGATTCTCTGCACATAGGAGGGGAGGGCGTTTTACTGCATTAAGAAAAAAAAAAAAAAGCCCATGTTTCACGAGTTGGGTTCCCTGGTGTTTCACAAGCCCCTCGAGATTGGCCACAGTCAATTATTTTTCTCCCCGAGAGATGGGTACAAATGAATATCAGGTCCACGTCCAGCCCAGCGCCCAACAGTTGGGGAGGTGCTGTACCATGCACTGGGCTTGCCTGGCTTTCCTTGCCTACTGCTTGTCATCAAGACCTTGCCAGCACTGAGGTCTTCATTTGTGCCCCTTGCAGAGGACATTCATATTGTATGTTAACCCTTGTGCTTGAAAATTGACACCAGCTAATAAGCCCCGTGGTTTGTGTCCGTTGAACTGTGTTCTCTTTCACGTGGAAGTATTTTCTGTCCCTGGGATTCTGGGTGTTTAGCGGTTTCCTGTTTTGCTGGAAGTCAGATTTGCCGCGTTGCTCACTGTGGCAGTGAATTTCTCTCTGCAGACCCTGACTTAGACTGCCCTCCAGTTCCCACTGACCGCCAGGAGCTGAGCTGCAGGGGGGCACTGATCTCTTTGCCTCTCTGTGTTCCCAGAGGCTTGGTGGCTGCCTCTAGTCCCTCCCTTCACACATCCACGCTCTCAATGCAGTAAGAGGATTGTATTTCTTTTAATATCTACCCAAGCTCATCCTGAACCAACAGTGATCCTCCTGCCACTCCTTTAGCTGCTGAATTAGCAAGGCTTCCTGCCTGCTTCCAGTCCCTGGCTACTTGTCCAGAACGTAGCCAGGATCTGCTGGGAGCCTGGTTAGGTTTTGTCATCATTTTTCCATACTTCATTTTATCCACTGGTAGATATTCCACCCCACCCTCTCCCTCCTTCCAAGTAATTACTTGAATTTTGGGTCTGAAGCGTTTCATTGAATCCACTTTCCATCTGTGAAGGAATTTAGTGATACAGTCTGCCTTTTGACATATTAAAGTATTTGTTAATCTAGGTCACCAGCTGTTAATATGCCAGAAATAACTGAAAAGAAAATGTAATCTGACTTAGACAGCATGCAAGCCCTTATGAATTGTTGAAAACTCACTGTTGCATTACTAAGGTCAAGTGTGTGTTATGATTGCAGTTGTGGCTGGTGGTTGATCACAGTGGTCTAGGGAAGCTTTGAGCAGGGCTTCATGTGTCCTGGTTTCTCCCCTGGGGAAAGCTGCTAATGAAGAGTGCCTGTTGTACCTAGTTTAGAAGATTAAGACACCAAGAGGCTGAGAGAGTGGGTTCTGGCCCTGGGTAAGTTCTGCCCCTTTACTGATCCTGTTCAGCGTATGGGAAGAGGGCGTGTGGAGATCCAGGTGAGGCAGTCCAGCCAAGCCCAAACAGTAGCCCCTGGACAATGAAAACCGAAGTGTGCTGCTATTGATGGGTTTATTAGACATCTCCTCCAGTGATGCCTTCTTTTTGCATCTTCAGCCTCCCGTTCTTCTCCAGATGCTCTCTTGTAGTTACTATGTGCCATGTATGTTCTTGAGACCCTTTGTTCCTGGTTTTTACCACAGATTTTTTCAAAAGAGAGTCCACTCTCTTACTTTCTCATCATTTTTGATCCACCTAACAGCTTGCATGCATTTTCCCTCGAAATGCATGACAAACTACTCTTTCAGATAACTTATGGCTTTCTATGAATTTAATATAGATTTTTGAATTGAAAGCCTGTAAAGTTTCTTTGGAGAAAAAAAAAAGTGAAATACACATATAAGGGAAAAAAAAACCACCAACAAATTAGAACACTCATAAATTCTGCCACCTGGAGATTCACAATCATTTGATGTGTCCCAGTAGATTTCTTCCTCTTGTATATGTATGTATTTATACAACTAAAACAGACCCATCCTATATGATTTTGTAACCTGTTTATTTCATTTAACAATTATGAACATTCTTCAATGGATGTACATATTTTCCATCATGATTTTAAGTGACTGAACAGTATTGGAATGTATGTATTTTAGTGAATCCCCTATTTTTGGACATCCAATTTCCATTGTTTCTGAATATAAATGCAAATCAGTGAGAAAACTTATAGGGGAAATGTTGCTACACATTCAAGTATCTCCTTAAATAAACTCCTAGAAGAATTATTCTGTCAAAGGTATGCTTATTTTTATCATAGTTGGATTGCCTTTCAGAAAGGTTGAATCAATTTACATCCTCACCAGCAATCTGTGAGACTTTGCCAATAGCAGATAATAAAATTTAAAACATTCTTCAGATACATAATTGGAAAAAACTCTTGCTGTTCTTTTTCTTGCTTTTATTTTTTAAAAGTCTTAACTTTTTTTGCATTAGTTTTTTTAATCTGTGAATTTTGTTTGTATAGTTTTGCCCATTTTGTATAGCATCTCCATCTTGTTATTTGTAAGGGCAAAAACTTTATCAATCTAAAGGTTACAAATATTGTTTCTTCCTTTTCTATTTACTTTTTAACTTTTGAGCATTTTTTTCCTGCTATGGAGCATATTTGTGTGTGTATTATGCTTATTTATTTCTTTATTTTGTATTTGCTTAAATCTATCAATTGATTTTGTGTGGTTTCCTCTTTTGGATGTTGAATTACTTGGGATTCTGCCACTTGTAAATGTCAGAAGACTCAGTTCAAACTGGCTTAAGGGGAAAAAAAAAGAGGATTTAATTACTAAAAAGAAAAACATGGTTCTTGCACATATAAATTTAAATGAGTACAAATACAATATGTACTTTTATTAAGCTATGAACATATATACTTATATATGTGTATTTTAAAATATATGTACATATTTCTGTTATATATGTTAACTCATTTGATTCTGTGCAGTTAGGTACTATTATTTTCCCTGTTTTATAGATGAGGAAGAGATTAAGTTACATGCCCAAGGTCACACAGTATGCAGTAAAGCCAAAGTTTGGACCCAAGCAGTCCAATGCTTCTTGATTGCATGGTGCTGCCTCTTATAATTAGGAAAGGGGCAGGGGTGGACACCGATCAGGCCTGCATGGAGACAGGGATTCAGCCACAGACCTCAGGACTCAGGTGTTTTCTCCCTGCCTCTCATCTCTGCAGTCATCTTGTCAGCCCCATTCTTGGGCAGGTTTTTTTCTTTTGGTGGCAGGATGGCGCTCAGCAGCTCTAGGCAAGAACATGTCACTATTTACAGATAACTCAGGATAACCCTCACCAGCCCAAACTGGGGCTTGTTCCTCACCCTGGAAGAAGGAAATCTCTGGCCAAGGGCCAGGGCCATGGGTTGGATTGGGCCTGAGTCATAGGCTTCTATGGAGGCTGGGATGAAGAAATGTCCCCTAGACCATATGCAGGGCTCGTGGAGGAGGGAGAATCAGAGGATAGGAAAGAATGGGTGTTGGGCTGGCAAAATAAAAGGTGTCCACTGAGGTGTAATTAAAAAGCCTTTCTATCCTGTGTTTGTATAAATAATCACATAGTTAATAATTTATAATTTAATATTCATTTAAAATTTCCTATCAAGTTAATATATCCATAGTTTAAAAAATAAAATATTAGTGAAAAGTTTATTATGAAAAATAGCAGTCCCCTGTCTCTTTTCTCCTCAGCCACCAATCTTGTTTCCCCAGAGGCAGCTATTATTAATCACAGTGCCCTTCAAATTATACTTAAAACTACTTCTGAATCTATCCTTCCATATTTGGTGAAATAGGTAAAAATTTAACACGCATACCTTCTTCCCTCTACTTCCATATCCCCTAATAATGTAGCAAAAATAGTTGATTGCTGAGGATTATATTTTTAAAATGGTAAAGTATGGAAAACAATAGATAATGTACATGTATAACTGATTCACTTTAGCATACAGCTGAAACTAACACAATGTTGTTAATCAACAATACTCCAATGTAAAATAAAAAATTTTTAAAAAGTCTAGTTGATAAGATAAAAAGAAAGTGCAGTGTTTGTTGACTATAACACACACATCTTAACTATTCAGCCTTGGTGGATTTTTGTGTATTTGGATCTCTGTATACCTATCACACAGAACATTTCTATCATACCAGATAACTCTCAACCTTCATGTCTCACCTGTTGCTTTTTATGTTCATACATTTTAAATTCCTTTACCATCATTTTCCTGATGAACACCTTATATTGTACATATTGGTTATTTTAATATCTTCTTTTGCAAAGTGTCTGTTCAAGTCTGTTTTATTTGGGTTGCTTGTGAAAAGAAGAGAAGCGAAAAGCAAAGGAGAAAAGGAAAGATATACTCATCTGAATGCAGAGTTCCAAAGAATAGGAAGGAGGGATAAGAAGGTCTTTTTAAATAAATAATGCAAAGAAAC